CGCGGCGAGGAGCAACGAGCTAAGAGGAGAAGGGAAAGTGAAAAATTGCTAGAGAGATTTGACGTTCACTTAGCGGTTAGGACTTTGTTAATTTGAGTTTTTAATTCGAGTTGATGTGTAATGTTGTGTGAGAGCTTTTTACTGTAATAAAAAAATTAGATGTGATTGTTTTTTAGAGCTTTTTACTATAGCAAAACTCGAATCAGTGAAAAGAACAGGACTTGAAGAATCAAGTTTACCTTGTAAGGACGAAGCACATTGACGTTCGCTATCATATTGTGTGGGAAATTCTCGAAGAATGTGAGTTATTCTTTCAGAAGGTTTCGACAGCAGAAAATCCTGCTGATATGATGACTAAGGTGGTGACAGTTGCCAAATTTAAATATTGTTTGGACTTAATCAATATCATGTATATTTGAGTAGAAGCCGAGAAGAGTGTTTGAAGGCACTATTCAAAAGACACTCATTTGACAATTTCGGCGAGGCGGAGATTTGTTAGTCGATATGAGTAGCTTAATTGTCAAAAAAATTGGATTGCACCAAAAGAGAAATTCAAAGAGAGAAGAAGAGAAAGAGCACCTAAAATGGTGCTGACTTATGGAGGTGAATCTAGCTATTTACAGCTGGTTCACGCGTAGAAAAGAGAGAGATAGAGGTTATAAATACAAACTTTTCCTCATTTGTTTTGCATCCAAAACACTAAGAGCTTCCCCCCTTTGTAAATTTGTAGGAAATTCTTTAGATTTTCAATTTGTAGGCTTTTGTAATTTCTGTTCAATTTGTAATCTTTCTTTTCTTTAGTAAATAGAGTAGTCTATAATGTCTGTAGACGTAGGCAATATTTTACCGAGTTCTGTTATCAATTCTGGTGTTATTTTATTTATTTTCAGTAATTAATAGTTATTCTGTCAGATTTACCCACTGCATATAGTACTGTTCATCAATACGGTACTATTCACAAATATTGTTCACAGTGAAGTTGTTTTTGAGTGGGAAGATTTCCCCAACAGAATATGCATATAAAACAAAACTAAAGAAGAGATGTTTAAAAGCAAGGAGTGTTCTTACTCATATAGCCTTGTTTGTATTGGTAAACATGTGGCTGCTAAGATAAGTGAAAATATTATAAAGGTGAATTGCCCTGCTTTATCCTGCAATGGACGGTTGCCCTCCCGCTATAAAGGTGAATTGCCCTCCTATAAAAATAAACTGTATAAGAGTTTCAAGAAAAGTGAAAATAATTAATTAAAAAAAAAACAAAAGCAAAACATGAAGAATAAATGAGAAGATGACACATGGTAAAAAAAAAAGCTTTTTTTACTCTTTTATGTATGTTTAGATAAGATTCAATATTTGATACAACCAATGTCTAAAAGGACCAAAAAAAAAAAAGTTATACCATTAATATAAAAACTAACTATTTAATAAAATGATTTTTATACAATTGATGATCCCTTAAAGAGTGGGATTCTCATTTCTGTGATTAGTTTCTTTTAAGCTAATTCATAAGTAAGGGTATTTTAAAACGGGTTTCAAAATGTTAAGTATGGTATCAATCCTTGGAGAAATCAAAATGTAATATAAGAAAATATTTACATGTTTGTCTCATATAGATTTGAATCACAATTTTCAATTTAAACCTAAAATTTATCCTAAAATGGTCTTTAAGAAAAAAAAAAAAGAAAAAAGAGAAAAGAGTGTGGTTTTTAGATTTCCAAAAAAAAAAAAAATATGGTCGTGTTTGGAATTGATCCCGTTTTTATTTTTCACGTTTTTTGAGAAAAAAAATAAAAACATTTCTAAAACGGTATTTAGCGCAATAAAGATAAAAACGGAAATGAAAATTATTTTTTAGTTTAGTGTAAAATGAGAGAGAAATGAAAAATGACTTTTAGTCGTTTTTCATTTTTTGTTTTCATTTTCTTCTCTCTTGAGTAAGAGAGACATTAATGGGTTTTTTTACACTGTAAACAATCTCTTGATAAAATTACCAAACGCATTTTTAAAAATGATTTATGTCTGAGATTGAAAACGTTTACATTTTCATTTTCATACAAAAAATAAAATCATTTTGAAATGAGTTTTAAATACGCTCTATGATTTAAACACGCAGTATAAGTATTAGTTTGACAAAGTTACATAAATTCATTGTGTTGAATAGAGTAAGCAGTGGTAGAGTTAGAAATTTTTTTTAATTGGGGTTTATAAAAAATATGTACCTTTTTTGGTACGTCAACATACTGATAAATAATTTTTTATCTGTTACATCTACATAAAATCATATAAAAATTAAAAATACGTGAATCCAACTGTTAGAAAAAATAAAGAATTTTTTACTCAATAGGAATATTATTGTGTATTTTACTTATAACAGTAAAACGGGTTTCAAAATGTTAAGTATGGTATCAATCCTTGGAGAAATCAAAATGTAATATAAGAAAATATTTACATGTTTGTCTCATATAGATTTGAATCACAATTTTCAATTTAAACCTAAAATTTTTCCTAAAATGGTCTTTAAAAAAAAAAAAAAAGAAAAAAGAGTGGTTTTTAGATTTCCAAAAAAAAAAAAATATAGCCGTGTTGGAATTGATTCCGTTTTTATTTTTTACGTTTTTTGAGAAAAAAAATGAAAACGTTTCTAAAATGGTATTTGGCGCAATAAAGATAAAAACGGAAATGAAAATTATTTTTTAGTTTAGTGTAAAATGAGAGAGAAATGAAAAATGACTTTTAGTCGTTTTTCATTTTTTGTTTTCATTTTCTTCTCTCTTGAGTAAGAGAGAAAGAGAGACATTAATGGGTTTTTTTACACTGTAAACAATCTCTTGATAAAATTACCAAACGCATTTTTAAAAATGATTTATGTCTGAGATTGAAAACGTTTACATTTTCATTTTCATACAAAAAATAAAATCATTTTGAAATGAGTTTTAAATACGCTCTATGATTTAAACACGCAGTATAAGTATTAGTTTGACAAAGTTACATAAATTCATTGTGTTGAATAGAGTAAGCAGTGGTAGAGTTAGAAATTTTTGTTAATTGGGGTTTATAAAAAATATGTACCTTTTTTGGTACGTCAATATACTGATAAATAATTTTTTATCTGTTACATCTACATAAAATCACATAAAAATTAAAAATACGTGGATCCAACTGTTAGAAAAAATAAAGAATTTTTTACTCAATAGGAATATTATTGTGTATTTTATTTATAACAGTGGGGGCATAATTATACTTTTTTATACAGTGCAATCTGCTGCATGATTAAAATTGTATACAGTGAGGGTACGGCTGAAATTTATAAGAACTTTAGGGGTGAAAATCAATTTGTGGGGCCGGCAACGCAATGGTACGTACTTACTTTTTGTTTTGAAAAGTAGGGTTTCTAATATTTATTAGGAATTAGGATTTCTGAACCAAAAGAACAGGGAAATCAGAGAAAAATAGAGAGAAGATGAGTTGTTGGGTTCCTTAACCTCAAAGTTTCGTGGAAGCTCTACGATTGTGACTGGTTTTCTCTTTTAGCTTCCCCATTTTTAGGTATTCCTTTCAACTTTCAACTTCTTAATTGGTTTACAAGCAAAAGGAAAAAAAACAGAGACAAAACTGTTTCTTTTCTTTTTTTTTTGCTAAAGGGTAAAATCAAAATTCTTCTTTGTCCTTATTCTTGTTTATTAATACATGTAGAATCATTCACGGATGATGATTTATGAATATTACTTTGATCGCAAAGAATGCAATGTTTTTTTTTTTTTTTGGGTGTAATTACTGTTTTGATCTCTTAGAATTCAACTTCGCATTTCTGGTGAAAACTAGAACTGATTTAAAGTCTCGTTATGTTTTTTTTTTCTTCAAGAAAACTAGTTGTTAGTGTACGTTTTCGTTGTATACAAGCAGAATTGTATAATTATAATGTCGATTATCTCTGGAATTATCATAATGTCACGCTTCAGAGAATCGGAGCTACTATAAAAGAAATCCTAAAATACTCGCAAAAATCTGTTCATATGCCCTTTCTTTGACTCTTTTTTTTTTTTTGTCATTTTCCTCGGATAAGGTTAAAAAAAAAAAAAAAAACTGATGATGAAGTAAGTCACCGTGCTAAAAAGAACTCAGACGCAGATTCTCAAAAACCGTATAACAGAAAATGGGTTGTGAAAAATCCTATGAAGGCGTTTGCGGAAATCCCTTGAGGAGCCTCAAGTTGAATTCGAGCGTTAAAAGCATTGGTGAGTCCTCCAGAAGGAGGTTGGTTCGTCAAAGGAGTATAGAATCAAAGAACGAAAAATATCCCATAGAGGAGCAACCAGCTAAGAGAAAAGGGGAAAGTAGCAAAGGGCCAGAGAGATTGTCGTATAATCGCGTCGAGGAACAACCAGCAAAGAGGAAAAGTGAAAGTAGCAAAGGGCCAGAGAGATTGTCATATAATCGCGTCGAGGAGCAACCAGCAAAGAGGAAAAGTGAAAGCAGCAAAGGGCCAGAGAGATCGTCACATAATCGCATGGAGCAGCAATCAGCTAAGAGGAAAAGTGAAAGTGGAAAGGGGTCAGAGAGATTATCACCCTGTGGAATATGCATGGACAAGAAAACTAAAGCAGAGATGTTTAAGATCAAGAACTGTTCTCACTCCTATTGCCTTGTTTGTATTGGTAAACATGTGGGGTCTAAGATAAGTGAAAACGTTATAAAGGTGAAGTGCCCTGATTTGGCCTGCAATGGACTCTTGGAACCACAAGATTGCCGGTCTGCTGTGCCTCAAAAAGTGCTTGATCGCTGGGAAGCTGCGCTGTGTGAGTCTGTTCTTGGATCGAAGAAGATTTATTGTCCCTTCAAGGACTGCTCTGCTCCATTGGCGGCCGACGGACATTTGACTGTAACCTCAGCGGAGTGCCCACATTGCCACAGGCTGTTCTGCGCGCAGTGCAAGGTCCCGTGGCATGCAGGTTCTGGATGTAAGAGCCAGGTTGAGAAAATGGAAAAGAAGTTCATAGACCTTGCCAAGGCGGAAAAGTGGCAGAAATGTCCTAATTGCACATTCTACGTTCAGAGGACTCATGGTTGTGAAAGCATTACGTGCAGGTTATTTCTTCTCCAGATCTATATCTATAATCTATTTTTCTAACCCATTGATATTTTATCGATTTAGATTCTGTTTCATTATATTCTGTCACATTTTAACACTAGGAGAATTTGCACCACATGGCTAGTTGTAATTCTTAAGTAAAAACGTCAACTATGGTGTAGTACTTGTCAATCACACTGTGTATCGACATAATCTCCTGTTAAGTACTTTTCTCTATGAATTTCATTTAAGTTTCTATGAGCCATAATAAGCTTGTAAATCTCCTGTTAAGTACCTTTTTCATGGATTTCATTGAAATCTGTCTTTGTCATTGTGAACTAGTAATTAAAAGAGCAAAGTATTCAATGTGGTACTGGAGCTTGGTTTGTTTTGATTGTTTAGATCGGCTAATATAGTAACATACTAACAGAAAGCTTCCAGTTAGTAATGAAGCCAAAAAAAAAAAGAACAAAAATGTTCTGGACTTAAAAATGTACTAAATGTCATCTCTCTTTTGTAATGAGTATGATTGTTCATCATTTACTTAATTTATTTTCATGAGTAGATTAAATATGGCACGTGATATTTACGTTTCTCGAATGTTTCCTGCTTATTGTTATTGTTATTGTTATTATTATTATTTTTTTTTTTTTGGGTGCAGGTGCGGGTATAAGTTCTGCTACATATGTGGAAATCCATGGGGTTTTGGCCATTTATGTCCAATTGGGGGAGGGAATGTGTACCTGATTTAATTAATTTAACTCTAGGATTGATGTGAGTCGATGATGAATCTCTAGTTCTGGTAATTAGGTTGATGCTATATTTTCCATGACTTCTTTTTTGTATTTAGTAGTTTATCGGAGAATGGAAAAGTTGTGAGCATGAGATCATGCTAAGTTATTTATTTTTAACTTATTTACTTGTTTTGGTTTTCGGTCACACATTGTTAGACGAGTTCCTTACCTTTCTTTCAACGATCAATGATAAAACTATTATCGGAAATGCATTCTAAAAATTTCTGTGGAACTAATTTTCTTTTCAGTTTTATTAAGTCTCATTTACTTTGCAGATTTGAATTTTCAATTTAAGTTGAGATGTGACATGTTCTGAGAGCTTTTCACTGTAGCAAAAAAAAAATTAGATGTGACATTTTCTGAGAGTTTTTTACTGTAGAAACTTAAAACTAAAAATTTGAATCAGTGAAATGAATGAGGCTTTTATGTTTCTCTGACAAGATTTTTATTTCCCTTGCCTTCTGTTTTGTGGAAACTCTTGCGGAAAACATTTAAAACATAACCAAAAAGGGCAGGTATTAAAAATGTCTTCTTCCAGCTTCTTTTAAACTTAATAAGGATTTACAAGAGAAACAAATGAATAAGTTGAGATTGGAGTGCATTGAACGATACCGAGATTAATTAAGCTCTTAAAAGATTAATTAATTTCTTATAAGAATGAAAAACGTAATAGAAGAAAATTGCTTGTTTGTTTATCTTTAGTCTCGTTCGTTTTGCGGATTCGAGTTTTCAATTCAAGCTGAGATATGACATTTTTTAAAAGTTTTTAACTGTAGTAAAAAAAGTTAGATTTGACATTTTTTGAGAGTTTTTAACTGTAAAAATTTAAAATTAAAAATTCAAATCGATTAAATGAACAAGGCCTTTATCATCACTGATGTTCTTAAATTTTAGTGTCATTCTCAATTTGTCACCTGAACTTTAAAAACTCACTTTATCCTTGAACTTTGAATTGTCACTTTATCCTTGAACTTTGAATTGTTCCGACTTAACTCTTTCTGTTATAGTTTTTATTAAAAACGGATAAAAAAATAATATTGTCATGTGGTCTTTCTATTTGAATTTTTGTTAAAAATAAACAGACAAAAATCACACAATTATAGTTAATTCTCGTTTTTTGGGTTTGATTTTAATAGAAATTCTTATAAAATGACTTAAGTGGGATAAATTCAAAATTTAGAGGATAAAATGAAAATTTTCAAAAAATATGAGGTAGAGTGAAAATGAACTCCAAACTCAGAGACATCAGTGAGATTTATCTTTTATCTTTTCTATTGTTAACCATGATTATTTGGCTACGTACGATGAAGGGCAAATTTCAAGTGTAATAATTATAACTTGAACATCTGACTGAAAAAAAAGTTTCCAACGAGTCGTGGTGATTTCAATATTAAATGAAATTTAGTAAAAAAAAAAAAAAATCATTCAAATAGACAGTCAGAAAGAAAAGCAAAGTTTTTTTTTTCTTTTAAGCATGAACTGTATATAAAGGGAAAAAGAGGTGTATAAATTTAAATTTTTTCCCCTTATTTTTAATTAATATTTTTTTTAATTAAATAATCATATCAGATTGGAAAATATTAATAAAAAATAAAAAATATAAATATAGATTTATACACTCTAAAGAACAATTTTCTTATATAATTATTATGAAATAATATAAGATTTTGAATATATTAATAAATAATAAATAATATAAATTGTAATTATTGTGGAATTATATAAGATCTTGTTATTCAAAAGCAAAAAATTTAATAAAATTTCTATAATTGATAATATCAAATGTCTTCAACCGATTCAAACTCCTAAAAAATCTCAACCTATATCTCTTCTTCCGCAGCTTCTCTGATTCAGTATAACAGCTTTATACTACTAAAGCCTCAAGAGAAACCCTTTCTAGTGCTTCTCATCAACACAGAGTAGAAAAACGAAAATGGGAAAATCTGCAGAAGAATACAATTATCATTATATTTGTCCATTTTGCATGGACGGAAAAAATGTAGAGGAGATGTTCAGAACCGCCAATTGTAGTCACAACTACGAGTTTTGCGTCGACTGTATTGGCAAATACGTTGCTGCGAAAGTAGGTGAAAACGTCATAAGCGTAAGGTGTCCTTATCAGCCTCTCTGCCATGGAGTCTTGACGCCGAAAATCTGCCGATCCGCCTTGCCCGAAGAATTTATCGACCGATGGGAAGCCGCCATTTGCGAGTATCACATTGCGTCGACGCAAAACGTGATTTACTGTCCGTTCGAGGATTGCTCCGCTCCGTTGGTGGTGGACGGCGGAAGAAAGTTCAAGGCGGTGAAGATCACGTCCGCCGAGTGCCCGCACTGCCATAGGCTGTTCTGCGCGCGGTGCCAGGTTCCGTGGCACGCCGGTTCTAAATGTAAGAACTATAATCTTAAGAGCATGGACAGAAAGTTTAGAGGCCTTGTCAGGGTTCAAAAGTGGAAGAGATGTCCCAAATGCAACTTCTACGTTGAAAAGGATTCTGGCTGCGACCACATAATATGCAGGTCTGACAATAACTTATCTCCCTAAATTACCAATATTTTACATACTTATACAGGAGCAGCAGTGACGAGGGCAGAAATTTTATTCAGTGGGGGCTTATAATTTTTTTTCTAAATATTTTGTTGAGACCAATTGAATTTTTTTAATTTTAGAGGGGCTATGTTTAATTTAACGTGAATTTATGTAGATTTGAGTAAAGATGTTGAATTTTTTTCTCAATTCTGTGGGGGTTAAATTAAAATATATGAAGATTTATTAACTTTTAACCGTTTGGTCATATTTGAACTGTGGTTTAAACACGCAAGACAAATAATTTCTTAATTAGTTGATGTTGCTTTTATTATTATATACATTGAATCTTAAGATATTGTTTGAGGATTGAGATGATAAAATCATGCATGACTTCTGATCATATACACAAATATTTGCAGCACTTAATATCTAAGAGAAATATTGTCTCTGCACTTGTTTGTAGTTGAGATTTCACCCGTTTTAATACCATACTGACTTGGTCATATTTGAGTAATTTTGTCAGGGCCAAATTAAAAACAATAACCTTCCTAAGTTCTATGTATTAGTAGTCTAGCACTGATAAGGTTTTGGTAGTAACTTTCTTCGTTTTGCAGGTGCCGCCATAACTTCTGCTATAAATGTTGTAGACAATGGGATTGGGGTCATAGATGTCCAATGTCTTTTTCAAGGAAAGCAATGAATAAAGTTCGATATATCATCAAACAACTTTTGTAGTACTTTATTGTTATATAGTTTTTAGGTTAATATGTTATTATGAATAAAGAACAACCAAAAAATATGCAATTATTGTACTGATTTAAAGTTTTGTTCTGAAACAAATGTCATTCAATTATCCCATGTCATTGACTTATTATCCTAATTTTGTTTTTTATTCTCTCACTTCGCGTTATGCTTTGCCTGTGTGCTTGGTGCTTTTGTTTCTATCAAAATTGTTGAGTACTGTGTTGCTAAGTAAAATACACCATAAATAAAATGACCATAATTCAACTACTAAAAATATGGTCCTATTAATGGATAGGTGTAGTAGTGGTAAGGATGCCTTTCTTTCCTTTTCTCAGCATGCGTTGAGGATTTGGTGCTCCACATCCTCAATTTAGAACTCGTGTTTGATTAATGTGTTGTGCGACATTAAATGTGTGACGATATGAATGAAAATTAAGCCCGTCATTCAAATAGAATTAAGTCATGTCATTTTTGTTCCATTCATGGATCTCATGATTTAAAAAGTGACAATAATGACAAGGAAGGATGACGCAATTGATTCTTTCTTTTTTGAGCCAAAAAGAATTATTAAAAATGTGCCGCATGCAGCAATATGGTATAATGACCAAAATCAGGTGTTGCAAGTGTATAGATATAAGCATTCATTCTCTTCATTAATCTTTTGAAGCAGATCATAGATATATGTCATATGAGGATCCAAACCCTTCAAATTCTTGGATTGGCACCGGAACTTCTTTACTATTCCTAGACAAACACATTTATGACAGACGATTCCAATCACCAATAAGTCCAACGTTAAGATTTCCAAACACTAGGAAAGACTCTCCGAATCCCTGCACAAAGCGTGCATTAATATTAAATAAATCACCAAAGATGGAATACTGAGAAAGCCTCCAAAAGTTGCTTTAGGTCTGTAGTATATTTGAAAAAAAAATGAAACAGAAAAAAACAAACAAACAAAAATGGTAGGATCGTCAAGCTCTGGCGTTCCAGTACTTCACCCATTGGTTGATGATTTCTACTTCTCAGCTCTGTTTGACGCTGAAGAAATCTTTCCAATCTCTGATGAAAAATACGCAGAAGAGTTGGCTCTTCAAGAAACCCTGATGTCAGCGAACTTTTCAACATCAAGAACAAGAAATACAAAAGAGAATTTTAGCACTTCACCAATTGAAACTCTAAAGGGAAAGATGAAACTAGAAAATGGTCAATCTTCTAGTCAAGTACTCGTGTCCTTTTGTGTCATCTGCATGGACGCAAAACCAACCGAAGAAATGTTCAGAAACGACAACTGCACTCACTTTGCACCGATTGCATTGGGAAATACGTAGCCACAAAAGTTAAGGAAAATATGTACCATTGGTGAGATGTCCGGAACCCAAATGTGGAGGTGTTTTCGAGCCACAACTTTGTCGTGACATTGTCCCGAAAGAGGTTTTTTGAGGGATGGGAAGATGCTCTATGTGAATCCATGGTTGTTGGGTCGAAGGATTTGTACTTGTACTGTCCATTCAAGGACTATTCTGCAATGTTGGTGGTCGATGGAGGGGAAGTTGTGACCATGTCTGAGTGTCCTAACGTTGCATGGCATGACGGAAGCGATTATGGCGCGTTTCAGATAATGAGAAGGGAATGTTGAATCGGAGAGGGAAGATAACACGGTAATGGAGCTTGCTCAAAAGAAGAATTGGAGAAGATGTCCCGGTTGCAAATTCTTTGTAGAAAAGAATGAGGGTTGTATGCATTTAGCTTTATATATCTTAATTAAGCCTTTTGTCTTTCTCATTGATTTTTTGTGATTATGTATGTATGTATATGTGAGAAAAATTGACCAATTGACGAATTGGTTGAACTCGACCAAATGAGAAAAAAAGCTGAATAATTACCCTGTAAAGAACAGCTTGGAGTCGGTAAAAATTACAACCTTATAAACAAGAAAATGAATTCGAGGTGGGAATAGGAATTTACATTAAGAAAATAATTATCTTTTCTTAAAGACTGATCATTTGCAGTGCTTTTATTTTTGCTTAGTTTTATTAGGTTTCTTTATTTTCTTTCTATCTTTTTTTTTTTTTCATTATTTGCAAGCATCTTTTTCTTCTTTTTTTTTATAAATTTTTCGCGTACTTAAAAAATGTTTGTATGAGTCTTTATATTTGATGTTTTTGGTAGAAGAAGAATACGGAATTGGATACTTTAGACATTTTTTTTTTTTTTTTATTTATTGCGATAAAGCAAACGACCATGTTTTCAAAGATGAAGCGTACCAATGAAAATCAATTTTCACTACATATAGGAAGAATATATATTTGAGGCGTATAAGGGGCACACCATATAACAGTCCTTTTTATCTTCACAAGATGATGATGTTGATTAAATTCTATTCCATCTTTATTTTGCTTTGATTATTTTTTCTTTTTGTTAACTATTTCATTATAGGTGAGGGAATGAATTTTTCTATGGCTGTGGATCCAAATGGAGTTCAAGCCATCATAACTGCCAACGTCCATAAGAGGGCATAGCGTAGTGCACTATGCTAATGAAGAAAGTTATGGTACTTATCCAATTAATGTTTGCCATTCGAGAATTACATAAATATGGCTTCCTATTTTTAAATTTTACTGATTTTTGGGTTTTTTTTCGGACCTTTGATTTCATGAGAATGGGATGCACTTGCAAAGTTTGCTTTGTACTTTTTCTAAAATAGATTTTGGCTTAAAAAAAATTAAATCCCGACTATATAACTTGTTTTTATTTGGCTGGTTGCTTCTGAAAGAAATTATATATCCATTTCTCTGCAAAAAAAAAAAAAAAAAAAAAAAAAAAATCCATCACAATTGGCAATATTGGGCAATATGTGGTACATTTGGCTAGCTCTAGACAGTGGTTATGAAAGAAAAATAAATAGAAACCGAGACAAAAAAATGTAGTCTGAAGATTCTTTGGTAAAGAACATAAAATTGATTTCGTAATCAAAGTAAATAACTATACTTCTTTTGTTGAGTCACATGATTCTTTAATTTTATTATATAATTTATTTTTGTTCTTCAACGAACAGTTCTATGAGCTTTTGAAGAACTGTTTTGGTGAGCCACATAAGGTATGCTAACATCGATCAGTCTTTTTCTCGGACTTTTGTTAATTATTATAAAAGAAAAAGGGAGAGTGGGAGAGAAAAACAAATAAACACATGATATATATGTAAATTTATAACAAACAGTATAAATCACCAAGAAGTTAATCGCGTTGGTTTGTTAATCTTTTTCCTATGACAGTGGAAATTAAAAGAAAGAAAGTCATCCCTAATCATTCAGACTTAGGGACAGACTAGTTCTAATCAAACTGGTTAATTAATTAATACCAAACTCAAACCATAATTAATCAGATGAAACCAGGACCTATACATATACTACTTAGTCAGAAACTATAAACATATATAAACATTTACGAAGTCATGATCAGTTGTGATTCTTGTGAATCTATGACGACGACGAATACATCACCCCATGATGTGCACCTTGACCACCATCACCACCGTTGACGAGATAGTCCTCCTGATCACCAGTTCCCCCATAATTCAGCAGCGACATAAACGGCGTCGTTTTCCCCATCATCGTCACCGCCTCCACTCTCTCCGCCACCTTCTCCCTCAGCTTCACCACAGCCTCCTTGACTGGAACCGCTCCAGCTCCCCCATCTCCATACCCTCAATTGGACGGTCCCACCAAAACCCTAATCCGTCTCCACTGCCGTCTCCCATCATCTTCGCCTCCATCTCGCATCGCTCCTTCTCCTCCTCTTGGCGGCTCAACGCATCCACCAGCAACTCCACTTCACGGCGGCTGCCGTCCTCCGGCGCCGGCGCTGGTGAGTGGTTCCGGTTGACGAAAGAGTCGTCGATGAAGGATTTCGCACCCGGGGTTCGAAAGGAGTAGGCCTTTCCGTGCCTAGAGAGAACAATAGCGGCGACCTCGGCACCGGTGAGAATGTTGATCTCGGCAGCTTTCTTGAAGAGGCCCATCCTCCTCTTGGAAAACGTCACATGACGTTTGCTTTCATCTGCTATGAGCTTCATGTCAACCTTTTGACGGCCTCTGGTTTGCTTCGCCATTACCAAAAAAAAGAACAAATTCAATTGAATGAAATAGAAACGAGTGTGAAACTATGAGAAATTATAGTAAGTGCATTCATGAATGGTGATCCCTATATATATGTTATAATGAGCTTGCTCTAGGGTTTCTTCTTTCCCGTTTTGGCTGAAAGGCTGATTTGAAATATACGGCTGAGATTGACGATATAAGGTATTGACTAGATCGAATGCCGTTGGATTTGTTTTTGGTAATTGGGTTTCCTTTTCTTTTATTTGTTAAGGCAATCTCCAGAGATTGGATTCTCTGTCCGATTTAAGGTAACTGGCCTGATAAACCGGAATTACTGAGTTGTCCTTGACAGAAATTAGAAAACCATAGAATAATTAGAGAGATTTTTCTTAAAGTTGATACTACGTGTCTTTTATAATCATCTCAAAACATTTTTAAAATAATAATTATTATCATTATTATTATTATTATAATAGTAGTAGTAGTAATAATAATAATAATAATAATAATAACAGTCATCTCAAAATTTCTCCCTTTTTAATCCTAACTTTTTCATATTATTTTTAACATTTGCAATCGGTGGATATTTGAAAATCCTTCTGTAAAGGGAATGACACACAAAAAAGATTAAATGAAAGGTTTTTTTCCGATACAAAAATGTGTTTGAAATAACTAATCTCAATGTCGCACCAACGCAAAGCATGTTTTGGAGAAAATTGCTCAACTTACTCTTAAAGTATTTATCTCATTTTCATAACTTTTTAGTCCCTTTTCCTAACATTTTAGCCTCGAGAAGGGATTGTAAAGGATACTCCTGCAAGGCCATTAATTTAGCGTAGGTTTTAAACTCTTTTTCCAATGCAAATTGTGTCGGGAAAGAGGTTGAGATACTCCAAATTAACTACACGTCAATTTCACACGCGCAAATTAAGTAAAATTTCAATTGAAATTTGAATAAAAGTTTACCTTGCATATTCTTCCCCTATCTCTTTCTCACTCTTGGTCTTCCTCTTCCACCGTCTCTCTTTCTCCCAATTTCTTCATCTCTTTTACACACACTCTCATTCTATTTTCTCTCAAATTTTTTTTTATAAATTAATTGTCTCCAAGTTCATGCTTTCTCTATTATCTCACCTTTCTCACTCTTATTTTCTAATCTATTTCATGTCGCATTTCCATAGTCAACGACACGTTCATTGTGTCGGTAAAACCCTAACTTATAGTAGTGAAAGTCGTCTTTTCACCAATAAAAAGATGACAACTCAATCATGTACTTAATTATTGTTAATTAAATGATTGACTCTTTTCCTTGTTTTCTAGGAAATATTGCCTTCTACTCACACAGTATAATTTTTTTTCCCCTTTTTGGAAGGGATCACAGTACAATTCGCGTCTATTTGGTAAATATATAATAGTGGGAATTACAAGATTTACTTTATATTTTCACTTCATATTAATTAATATTATCTTTAGATTTTTTTTTATTTTTTCGCTGAATTCTTTAGATTTTTTTATTCGAACTTGAATAGAGGAATTCGATCTCTCACCTTTGATTATCTTTGCATATATTTATTGCTAATTTTATATAGAAAACTCGACCACACATATATGCATCCCTCTAAGAAATTTTATGTTTTCCAATGAAATTGAATTTCATTAATTATCTTTTCTTTTTATTTTAAAGAGTGCTCTCTGACTCTTTTTTGCTCTAGTTCGTTTTCTAAGTTGAAAAAAAAAAAAAAAAAAAAAAAAAAAAAAAAAAAAAAAAAACCTACTGCTATTTGCTTTTTTAAAAAATCGGTCATACAATATCAAACTTGATCATAAGTGATTTTCTACTATTTCTGCGACTAATGTTTTTAGATAATATTTTAGAAAAAAGGACCCAATCGAATCTTTAGAATCTTCCCTTAACACATATGGGAGAGGCAATTAAATGCAAAATTAGATTGTCAACGGTATCTAACAAATGGAATTCCCTTAGCGGTTTAGTAAACTTTTTATTTATACATTCATTGCCCATCTCAACGAACGGTAATTGTAAGATATATATTTCTTTCATGTTCAGGAAATTTTCATATAGTTGCTTTAATTTCCGGAGGAATACTGGTCGCAAGGCATTTGGGCTACACAATTTCGACACACTTTCACCAAAAACCGAACAACCGAGGAATTTGGGCTTCCTCTACTAGCTAGGCCATTTCGTCGACAAGCTTCAAACTATGAATTTACGAAAACGTTACTTTAAAATAAGAGAAATTTTGAGGAGTGCCGTGAAAAAAAAAAAAAAAACCTCATAGCTTTAGATTTACGTCACGATATTGGAGCTTTAGATTTATCCATGCAAACGAGCTGATCAATAAAACGACATAAATCCGAACTATAAAAAAATTCTGATATAAATTCGAAAACATAAAAATTGTGACATGGCACACCTAATTTTATATTTGAATAGATCCTTTTGATATACAATATAAAGAGTATTTACAAGCAATTGAAAGTATATTGGGTCGGGCTTTGTCAAAAGTCTAGACACATGAATCTATGGCATCAAGAAAATCATCATTCAATCGAAATTGAGATCATGTGCTTTGAAGATACAACAAGATTTTAAAAAGGGTTCGTTTAATTTATTAATTCGAGTTTTTAATTTAAATTGATATATGACTTTATATAAGAATTTTTTATTATAATAAAAAAATTAAATATAATTATTTTTAATAATTTTTTATTATAATAAAATTTAAATTAATAAAATAAACGGGACTAAAAAACCTAGTTAGAAGGTCAAATTATATCCTCGTAGTACATCTACACCCATCCTCCCTAACCATCCCACATGCGGGTAAAGTTCAAGTAATGAACTTTACCACACAAAGGGGGGTTCTAAATCGAGGGATCGTCGTAGTTGATTAACTCCGTTTACGTGTAAATATTTGATTTATATATTTAAAATTATGATTTAAAATTATTTTTAATTTACGTATATTTTTTATAAAAAAAATAATATAATAAATTATGAATAATAATTTAAATTATGAGATGATTACACTAATTAAACACCTAAAACATCAATCCCTGTGAGAGGTCAGGTCAAATTAGTACCTCGATCCTCTAAGGGGCACTTGGGTCAAGCGAAATTTCAACAGTAGCCCACATCAAAAGGCGAGTCAAGACCCTTGAGTTGGATTTTGACACTTAGACATGTGTCTAATCTCTATGTATTGAGAAAGCACTTTGTTAGAAATGATAAAATGATATTAAAATTATTCTCATACGGCAACAAATTGATGACCTTACGAATTAAAATGGACCAAGAGTACCCATCCAATTGGGCATCTTTGCTACAACTAGGGCATACTTGCATTCACTTTGACAATATCCTATGGCTATTGTCTTACATGAGTGTCCATTTAAGTCTCTTTCGAGGTACACCCACAACGCACCCCTGATCAACGGATTACGACAAAGATGAAAAGGATCAGTTGTATTGCGAATTTCAACTACACCGGAGTCTTGTATAAATATATGGTTTATAGCAAAATTGCCCCCAAACTTATCGTGATTTAGCAGATTATCCCTTAAACTTTTAATTTTGACAATCAACCCCTAAAACTTATAAAATTATTACAACGTGCTCCATTTTATTAAATCTGTTCAAATTTTTTATTAGATTTAAGGAATTCAAATGTGAGAAATTTAAGAGATTTGTATTACATTTAAATTTAAATGTTATAATTTCTCGTCGAACGTATTATTTTGACACTAATTTAATACAATTATCGTTAAAATGGGACATATTGTAATAATTTTACGAGTTGAAGGGACAACATGTCAAAATTAAAAGTTTAAGGGTCAAATTACCAAAGCCATATAATTCAAGGGGTAAACGTGTAAAATATCCTATATATATGTATATATATATATTGCGTTTTTGGACTATGCAATCTATGAGACGTTTGGTTCATGAATTAGAACAATGTGATTAAAATTATTTTCAATTTACGTGTATTTTTGTGAGAAAAATACTGTAACGAACCACGAATCATGATTCGAATCACGAAATGAATCTCCAACCAAACAACCTCTTAATCTATATATAGGCAAATGAAAATGACTTCGTCTTAAGTAGCAACATGTGGGTCAGCCATCCATGCTCTTTCAACTCACCTTTGACCCCATCTTGTATATGTTTTCGACTGTTGTCTCCATTCCAACACATGCATGGGTCCATCCATGAAGAACTGAAGATGATCATTACGATTTGGGATCTCCGGCCAGTTGATAATGATAAACACACGAATATCCCGTATTGTTTTTCAAGTACTAATATGCGCACTAATAAACACATACTAACAAAAAACGAAAAAGCAAATCCCTATGTTTATTAACGTTTAAGTCATGTCCAATTAATAAACGTCCAAGTTCATTTCTTAGTGATCTTACCAGCTAGCTAGCTAGCAGTACTCCCATCACATAATAACAGTGAAGATTTAGAAACATAACGCATAATCTCATTCGAGATACGTTAATGTTAGTAAAAAATTGTTCAACTTATCCTTAATAAATAGTACGAATTTGAATTTTTATCTTTTATTTTGATTAATATCTTTTTAACTAATATAATTATTTGACTAAAAAAGATATTAATTAAGAATAAGAGATAAAGGCCGTGTTTAGAATTAATCCCGTTTTTATTTTTTACGTTTTTCAAGAAAGAAAAAATGAAAACGTTTTCAAAACGGCATTTGGCGCGATAAAAAAATAAAAAAATAATTTTTTGATTTAGTGTAAAATGAGAGAAATGAAAATTAATTTTTAGTCATTTTTCATTTTTTGTTTTCATTTTCTCCTCTCTCGAGCTGAGAGAAAGAGACAGATACATTAATAGGTTTTTTTATACTGAAAATAATCTCTTGATAAAATTACCTAACGCATTTTAAAAATAATTTCTATCTGAGATTGAAAGGTTTTCATTTTCATTTTCATACAAAAAATAAAATTATTTTAG